TACCCTGGTGGATCAACACCCCTCGATCCGAATCGACGAACCACACGCAAAACCCACAGAAAAATTAGTTGGGGTGACATAAAACGTCTCCTGACGCTTAAGAAGGCGTATGTACAGTCGAGAAGCGATTATACAAGTTTGAATCTTCTGTAGAGAAGTGATAATAGTCGTTGGGATCGTCGGTCGAGAAATGATGATAGTCTTTTGGATCCTTAGTCAGGAAGTGATGATAGAAGTTTGGATCTCCAAGCTCCGTTGAGAAGTGATTATAGTCGTTTGGATTGTCAGTCGAAAAATGGTGATAGAAGTCTGGATCTCCAAGCTCCGGTGAGAAGTGATGATATTCGTTCCGGATTATAGTTGTTTCGATCGTCAGTCGAAAAGTGATGATAAAAGTTTGGATCTCTAAGCTCCGGTGAGAAGTGATGATATTCGTTCCGATCATCAGTCGAGAAGTGATTATAGTCGTTTGGATTGTCAGTCGAAAAATGGTGATAGAAGTCTGGATCTCCAAGCTCCGGTGAGAAGTGATGATATTCGTTCCGATCATCAGTCGAGAAGTGATTATAGTCGTTTGGATTGTCAGTCGAAAAATGGTGATAGAAGTCTGGATCTACAAGCTCCGGCGAGAAGTGATAATATTCGTTCCGATTATCAGTCGAGAAGTGATTATAGTCGTTTGGATTGTCAGTCGAAAAATGGTGATAGAAGTCTGGATCTCCAAGCTCCGGTGAGAAGTGATGATATTCGTTCCGATTATCAGTGGAGAAGTGATTATAGTTGTTTCGATCGTCAGTCGAAAAGTGATGATAAAAGTTTGGATCTCTAAGCTCCGGTGGGAAGTGATGATATTCGTTTCAATCATCAGTCGAGAAGTGATTATAGTCGTTTGGATTGTCAGTCGAAAAGTGGTGAGAGAAGTTTGGGTCTCCAAGCTCCGGTGAGAAGTGATGATATTCGTTCCGATCATCAGTCGAGAAGTGATGACAGAAGTTTGGATCTCCAAGCTCCGGTGAGAAGTGATAATATTCGTTCCGATTATCAGTCGAGAAGTGATTACAGTCGTTTGGATTGCCAATCGAAAAGTGGTCACAGAAGTTTGGGTCTGCTGTAGAGAAATGGATAGACTTTCCAGTAGTGTCGAAAGAAGTTTGGAACTCACAGAAGAATTACTGTAGGAGGAGGTCCTGACTCCCGACTGGACACTGTCGCCAAGAAGGCATATGCACCCATGGATAGCAGTACTGGCAGAAGAAACAAAGATTTTGCCAAAAAAAGAAAGGCCTCCCTAGACGGACCCAATAAAGTAATTAGTGTTTATAAGTTCTTTAACACAACTCAGACTACGAAACTTAAAATTTATGCACTAAAAATGAACAAACTACACACTGTCGCTAATCTTTGGTTCCTCAAACAAGCCTTATTGCTTTGTGACATTTCTTCACTGAAGATGGTGTGGAGCTGAAACGCGTGTGAGTTAAATATCCATTAGCGAGAATAGACGTACCCGACCAAGTTTTTAGTGGCGATTTGTTCTTTAACTCAATCAGTCAGGCTATGAGCGCTAATCTTTGATTCGACAAACCATAATGATTGATAAATGATAATTAAATAACTAATTCCTTACTGAAGATGGCGTGAAGGCGAAACTCATATAAGTAAACTAGCGAAAGTAGACGGACCTAGTAATCAATGTCGATCAGTTGTACAGGTTTTTTTTGTGGTCTGTAGTTTCGGTTTTTCATCATCTTCTTGGGTTTGTGTGATTTTCATTCAATTGGGTTTACTAAATATTTCGATTCCACAAAAATTCGCATCTTCTTGTAAGTCGTGTAGCCTAAGTTGTTTGGCCGTACTCAGACCTCCCTAGTTGGATATTTCAAATCTTCGAAGCCCTGACCCGTTCTTCGATAACGATCTTAGTTGTCTGGTCGTCTGTCCCTTTTCTCTCTCGTCTAACTCACAATAGCTATTTCTCTCTTGGTTCGTCTCGTTTGCCATCCACGTCAAAACAGGATCAAATTATAAGTTCATCACCCTCAAGTCGCAAAAAGAAATACCATAGCAGATATAGACTCTTGGTCTATAGTTCGGCTTTTTAACTTCTGTCGTTGATTCGTTCTTACGAACTTCGATTCCGCTAGAATCTTCATTCAGCTTAATTGGCTATATCCGAACGTCCTGATCTGTCTAGTCTCGCTGTTGCCTGCTGTTTTTGCCATCCACGGAATAATTAGGCACGATCAAATTTAAGTTCATCACCCCCTCAGACCTCAAAAAGAAATCTCACAGTAGATATTTCATTATTATTAAAATTACCCTCTATTCATTACCGCTCCACAATGTAAGACGGGTTTAAAAGAAACGCTCGTCTATGAAGACGGTCTTGGCAGAAGAAAAAGATAATTGACCCCGGGCATATGAAAATGCGTTCACAATTATGATTCGATGTGTATAGTAGATACAATAGGAAGAGGGCAAGGAATCCTTAGCTATTGTTGCCCATCCTTTTATTCAAGGTTTGTATTGTGAGGGCGAGGCCTCGTTGGAGCCAGTCTAGGGCCGGGCCCTTAACAGATAAAAGGGGGGGGATTAATCGAGCAAATGTCCTGACTAACAAGTTATGTTTTCAGTTAAAAGTTAATTTTTCCATTTTTTCATTCCAGTTACGAGCTATGGCATTTCGAATTTAGTAATTGCTTGATGCATGATCACAAAACACTTAGAATCTCGTTCTAATTTTTATGGTCTAATAAATCATTCATTCTAATAATTCATCACCTTATCCTGTTTTCTGAGATCTCTAAATCCCAATTGTTTTGAAGTTCTATCCATGCCCCAAGCTATTTAAATGGTTCTTCTTTCGTCTCCTGTTCTTATTATGCGTATAGTGATGCTGTATTCGTTTAAAACCTAGATTTATGTATAGGAAACGATGCTAGGAAGCGACTATAGTAGCTTCCCATGATGTTCTTTGTGTTAGTAGTTTCCATGTTTTCTAGCTTGTTGAACTTTTCCTAGTGCTTTAGTTCAGTTCAATCGACTCGATTTTTTTCTTCAGAAGTATTAGTTTATTTTCTGCATGTTCGCCAGCAGCCAAATTCAAAATGGCGCCAACGAACACCACCGGGAGAGAGGAATTGAAATTAATAAGAAGATTGTTTCGGCACCAACGGGAATGGAAGATTCCCGATTTTAAGAGGGATGTTAGTTTAGGAATGGTTAAATGAAGGAATAAATAATGAACGAAAGGGTAGTTGAAGACTCACTGTTTAATGAAGTTTCTATGGCTTACAAAGTGGCAGATGATCGTATTAGAGATGTGAAGGCGATGACGGTCTGAAGGCGATGAAGACCGGGAAGCGGTGAACGTCTCCTGAATGCGATATTGTGCGCTGTTTGGCGATGATTAGGCCGGTGTACCTTCCTGGTTCGTGCAGCGTCGTTGATGATGAGGTAGTAGAGAGATGATGCAATCCAGGTAGTAGCCAGTGAGAGATGATGGAGTCTTCGCGGGATAATGAAGGATGTTTCGTTCGCGGGATTATAATGATGGTAGATGGAAGAAGGAGATGATATATTAAGGGAAAATGGCGATGATAGGTTTGTGGACCATGCGGTCGTGAGATGGGACGCAGGCGGAGGTGAAAATCGTAGCGATTTGAAGGGGAATCCGTGGGGATTCGCGTGGCGAGGAAAACTTTAAGAAGCGGCGATCTTACACGGAGGTGAATTACTATGGCGCAACACTTTATCACCATAAGGCGATAGATGGTGTGCTCGCTCCGAGAGCTGGCGGAGAAGAGAGCCCGAGAGGGCTGGAAGGGATGAGTTTTTGAGGAAAAAGGAGAGAAGTGTATGACGATTGGTGGATTTCTAGAAGATAGGGGTTGTAGATAGAGGGGTACAATCTACGTCGCAAATCGGGCGCTTCGGTGACGTAAACGCGCCCGAATACTGCAGTTGCTGCAAATCTTTTTCCTGGGTATTCTTGATATCCGAGGTAATGTCTCCATTGAGCAGCTGTCGAATGATATGGACAGTTTCTTTCTCTTCGTTGCATAACGTTCAAATGGGTTTTTCTTTGAATATACCCTTGTTGTGTAGGTATTTTCTCACATGCCAGTGACTGGTATATAGTGTTATCAGTGTAACAGTAGCAGTGTGTTTGCCAGCTTTGGTGAGGGTTCTTTAATCGTAAGCTTACTGTGTCTGGTACGTCTGGAGTTCGTCCACTTCTCCTTTTGGGTCTTTTTGGACCCATTCTGAAATGCAGTATTCGGAGTTTGTCCTTTCTATCCCAAGGATTATGGGATGGTCCCCTTATTTACAGTTGGAAACTAAGTTGTATAAACGTATTGGTAGTTTCCTATCATTTTTTGTTTCCCTACTGCGCGTTTTCACCATCTTCAGTGGTGGGTGACCAGCGCTGTTGTTTGGTAGTTTCCGATCATCCTGGTCTGCTGGTTTTGTACATACTGTCAATAATGAACATGGCGAAAAGTCGCCAAGTCTGTCGGACCAGGGAGGACTAGTAAAAATAAAGTATCGTTTGTGATAAAACGATTCCGTTTCACACCCTTTGTATCAAATCTACTTTCATGTTCAAATTTTGGGCTTTTTATTTTTCAATGTAGGATTTAGGAGTTTTAGAAATAGAAAATAATGAGTTTTATTATAATTGTATACTATATTTTTTCAGCGTGGTCATTACAGATCATTTAAGTCTTTCCTCGCAGTTTTGGTATGCCAGACTCTTTTCGACATTCCACCAACCATCAGAGGTGGGTTTGTATGCCAAACAGAATACTAGGCAGACAAAATTGATGGGTACAGCTACAGGTTCATCACCTTATAGACCTTAAGAAGAAATCTCACTATTATATATTTTTGTTTAAAGGAGGCAAATTTTGGAAAATCTCTCAACGGAGTTTAAATTCTTTACGATTCCAATCAGGCATTACTTCATGAACATACCCAATAATGGATTTTTTTTTTAGGAATGGGTTCGAAGCGATAAAGCTGAGATGGGTGGAGTTTTGGAGATGAGCACCGAGTTTTTCCTGGTGCCGAGGTCGAGCACGCCAGATCCACCGAGGCTCGTCACCGCCGGGCCTACGTCAGTACCACTACCAAGCCCTAGCATACTCAGGACGGACATGTGGGTCCTCCCTCTCCTCGTCTTCTCTACTATCACGATGCTCCTCATCGCTATATTCGAGGTAGTAAACCTGACCTGAAATTGGATCCAATTCTTGTACTTATTTCTGTGTTTTGCAGGTTTTTGTTGTGCTCAAGACGTACCGGACGACGCCAAGCCGACGCCACTTGTTTCTCGGGCAAATGTTGTTGCTTGGGTTATTCTTGTGCTCGGCCGTTTCTGCGATCCTCACAGCTCAGCCTACAGTCTTGACTTGTGCTGCAGTCAGACTGGGCGCCGGCTTGGCTTACACACTCGTCTTTTCTACTCTTCTGGTCAAGTGCGTTTTTCTTATATCGCTCAACGGAGGAGTGTACCTCCCAGCCCCATACCAAGCACTACTCCTTTTCTTCGCCGTCCTCATCCAGCTTACCATCGGCGTCCAATGGCTTATTAACTCTCCGCCGAAAATAATCCAGGTGACAAGCATATACAAAATATTGAAACTCTTCGGTTATAAGTCTGAAGCTTAATTATTAAGTACTGTCGGCCCTATTAATTTTAAAGATTGAATTTACAACAGGTTGGAGGATTGACCGTCTGCCAAACACCATACCACCATATACTACTTTCTTTAGTCTACACAGTATTTTTAATAGTCGTCGTCGGAGTGTTAGCTTTAAAATCGAGGGGTATCAGAGACAACTACAGAGAGGCGACTTTCATCGGCCTTGCCACTGCCTGTGTCATTCCTGTCTGGCTCGGCTGGGCGCTATGTGGACTGGTATGTCCAAAAAATAAAATTTAACTTTTAACCATTTTTTATAAACGAATTCCTTGTAGGTTGTGCTGGAGAGGAATAGGGATGCTTGTCTCGCCTTCGGCCTCAGCGCCTCTGCCCTGGTCGTTTTCCTTGTAATGTTCATGCCGAAAGGGAGACAATTGGCTGCAATGGGCAAAGAGGGAATGTACTTAGAAGATCGAGAAGACAAGCTCAGCTCTTTATCGAGGCCCGCGTCGCCAAGCTTCTTCCATTTTAAACCAGTTGCAAAGCAGCACCCAGTCAATACCTTTGGTAAAGAAACAAAACAATTGTGTCAAGCCTTTCTAAAATTAGAATTCTCAATATACTATACTGCGGTTATTTAATTTCTACTTATCTTGGCCAAGAGTTGCTTTATGAGAAGCACTACGCCAGCTTATGTTTATTGGCTTATTGCGAATTCAAAATGGGGAGTTTGTATGAAGTAACTTACCAAAAGGTCCCACAAAGTCAAATTTTAGAGAACCTCAGTGGCCAACTGGTTAGGGCATTATACTAATAACTTCCATGGTAATGGTTTTGGGTTCGGATCCCGGCAAAGCCTTTGATATTTTATTTGAAAATAATGTAAAAAGTACTATAAAATGGTCCGCAACACCCAACGGATTGCCCTCCAGTAACATGAATTTACTTTACGATCCTACAGATACAAGCGCAATTAAAATTGTATAGGGCATTCCACCCTCTAATATCATAAGCAGCTCCTACATGGCAATCAGTTATGTTCCGTAAGAAAAACAGTAGTGAAATTGAGAGAGTGCAAAGATTATTTCTTTTGCGCTTAATAAAGTACCGCACCATTTGTTACAGCGCAGTGTGTGTTGAATCTGCATTTCGACTAAAGCAGGAGTTGTTCGAGCTTGATTTAATTCAGAGCGGACAGGTGGAAGAATGAACGGATTATTGCTAGAAAGAGCTATTTGTTTTAAAATATACTGCTTATCCAGTGATCCGGTTGGATTCTGAGGAGACATGTGAAATAGAGGACTATACGGTTTGAAGTGGAGACGATCTCTTTGTTGGTTGTGCCTTCATGGTAATTCGACAGCATCAAGTGATATTTAGGATGGGTTATCGTCTTGACCCAAATTAACAAGCTGAACAGCTAGCGGGTTACTGGTTTATGCCCGCCGACTGACAGCCGCATCATCCTGGACTCTCTCATGGCTGGACAGAACATACAAACCCATAAGAGCTTGTACAAGTTATGATGGAAAGGTCGATTAGATGGTCATGAAGGTGCAGATCATTTGGGAAAAACGACGTTAAGACAGCGGAACATCCAGGGAGCGGAAGATGGAGGAAATCCACGAATGGTACTCTCACGAAGGGATTTCTTCCTCTGTTGTATCTCGGTCGCAACGCTCAATCCGAATTAAATCTGGCAAGATGTCGGCTTATCTGCACAGATCCAGAATCAGCGCATCTCCGACTTGCAAGTATCATCTGTCCTATGATGAACCAGACTGTTGATAATCTCTTTTGGGATTGGGAGAATCTCTGACGAGCCAGGCAGCTTTCATGCATTTCGCTGGCCACCCACTAAGGCAAAAGTACTTCAAAAAAGATATAAAGGATATTTTTATTTACCTCATTGATAATTGTTGGTAATTTCATGTAGTGCTCTTCTTAAGCGGAGCATGATAAAAGAAATTATTTAAACCCAAACACACATAGAGAAAGGCTACATCTTAGTATTAACTTATAAACTTATAAACCTAAACTAATAAAAAATTAATTTTACAGATCGAGTAGCTTTGGTAGCTCCACCTCCTAGTTACGGCCATCATTATTACCCGTACTGTTATTTTCCAAGGCCTCTACCAGGTTGGTTTCATTTATAAATCAAGATTAGTATTACACTTCTAAACCATATTCCAGGTTTAACATCAGCCCTAAAATAATAATATAGTTGACCTTTTCAGTTCAATGGGCACAATAGATCTTTTTAGGTCGAGGTGCAAGAGGCTTTGTGATCACCTCTTTTATCATCTATCAGTTCATTATTGTTTGATTAAAGAAATAACTTGCATAATATTGTAAGGATGATCCACACTTGCATGTAATCTGTAGTTTCTCTTTAGTTGGTTTGCTAAATCTGGAAGTGAACCGTTTTAGCGATAAAAAACCATGAATGTAATAAACGTTATTTTCTTTTGAAGGAGGAGCAAGCTTCGACACAAGTATGTACACAACGGTGGAGCGAACGATGAGCACAAATCCGAATGTGTTCTTCCATAGGTCAAGCGTACATCCGGGAATGATGTACTAAGCTAAACGCTGAACACTGCGTTACCAGCAGCGATCTCAAGTCGGTTTCATCGACACAGTTTGCCCTTTCTGTTATCAGTTGGTAAATCGGAACGATGAAAACGGGACTAACTACAAGGAGAAAATTTACAGCACATTGGTGTAAAATATGTTTAATGTGAATTGTTTGTATGTTTCCTTCTTTAAAAACAAAATATATATAATGTTATTTGATTTAAGCTCATTACTAAATTTATTTCGCCTTTCTACGATAGATCGACCATCCTATCATAATTGTCTATATTGGACACTTTGACAAAATTACCTCGTATGTTACATGATGATTATTTCGATGAATATACACTGACAGGCAAAAAATTCCACCCACTTGTAATATAACTTGATTTGTATATATTTTTATACAATAATCAAAATTGCACGTTTTTTTAACGTTTAATAATTGACCCTTTGTCTAAAAAAGAAAAAATCGTAAATTTCTAAGGAAAAAAATTGACGGACAGATAAAATTGTTTTAATTTTGTTGTAGATTTTTAATTAACACTTCAATATTGCGTATTTTCTCCTCTTGCGTTAATTATATCTCCAAGACGCCTTGTCATACCTTCTACCAGTCTAGAAACGTATCTTTGCTAGAGGCTAGCCCATTCTTCACGAAGAGTCCTTTCAAGATCGTGAAGTGTAACAGGAAGTGATGGATGTGCTCTTATTCGTCTTTTGAGGTTATCCCATAAATGTCCGATGGGATTTAAGTCTGGAGAACAGGCTGGCCAGGCTAAGACCCTGATGTTATGCTGTTGAAGGTACGTTACCATGCTAGCGATATGTGGACGGGCGTTATCGTGCATTAGAATAGGATTGTCGCTGATTCCATCGAGGATAGGCATGATGTTCCAAAATTTCATCCTCATAACGAGTGGCCGTCAAAGACCGTCCACGAACAACAACCAACTCTGTGCGACCCTCAATTGAAATTCCCGTCCACACCATCACTGAGCTATGTTGAAAAGGTTGGCTCTGGGAAAAATTGCAAGCTTCGTACCTTTCATTTCGCCTTCTTTACACTACTTTCATGCCCATCTGGAGATCTTAGATCAAATCTACAGACATCTGTAAAAAGTACAGCAGACCAATCGTCTAAAGACAACAGGCTGTGTTCTCGAGCAAATGGGAGTCGTGCAACTCTGCGTGTTTGGTCAATTTTGTTACTCTTACGGGGCGAAAAGCCAACAGTCATACTGATTTAATCTTCTTTGAGCAGTGCATTCAGAAATTTGGATACTTCGAACTTCCTGGAGCTGATGAATCGCTTGAACAACAGTAAGCTGTCGGTTTTTTTAACGCTTAATAATTGGCCGTTAACTTACTCAATAGTGAGATTTTCGAGTGACCTTTGTTATTGCACTTATGATTCCAGCTGTCTTTGCTAATTAATCTGTAGCAGCTGATTAGTGCTCTGACCTTAACCTCAATGTGAAGAGGAGTGGTATTGGTTATGATTTCAAGTGCTAGGGCGGGTGTAATTGAAAATGCTTCTATCATCATCAAACAACCTAGTCTTTGAAATCATCTTATTTTGTTACTGTTCCCTTTATTTTCTAGACCTTTCCACCATACTAAAGCTGCGAAAAATAATCTAGGCAGAATAATTGCAGTATATAGCCATTTGGCTACCCATGGTTTGATACCCCATATTTTACTGACAATTCTCCTACATTGTACCATTGATATTGTCCCTTTCCTGTATATGTTGTTAATATGACCTTTCCCATCAAGTTTCCTATCAAGCGTCACACCAAGGAATTGGTTGAATCCACTAACTTTCATTCTATGCCCTGAAATTTAGTGTTTTTAAAATTACCGAGCGTTCTTCTTCTCCTAAACATTATCAATTCCAGTTTAGCTGGATTAATTGATGAACCTTTGTCACAACACCACTCATAAAGCAATCCCATGGCGCTTTCCATCAGAAGTGAAAGAGTCAGGGGATCCCTACCGGTGAGCATTATGAACTATCATCTGAAAATAATTAACTGTTGAAGGTAGAAACCTGAATTATTCAAAAGTTCTATTAAGCTGTTTACTATAATTAACCATAAACGCCCATCTGAAGATCTTAGAGCAAATCTACAGACATCTGTAAAAAGTAAAGCAGACCAATCGTCTGAAGACAAATGGCTGTGTTCTCGAGCAAATGGGAGTCGTGCAACTCTGCGAGTTCTGGTCAATTCTGGGCCTCTTACGGGGCGAAAAGCCATCAGTCCATACTGATTCATTCTTCTTCGAGCGGTGCGTTCAGAAATTTGGACACTTCGAACTTCCTGGAGCTGATGAATCGCTTGAACAACAGTAAGCTGCCGGTTTCCTAAAATTTTCACAGTCAAAAAACGACCATCCTGTGGTTGTTACCCTAGGGCGACCAGAACCAGGCCTTCTATGGTAGGACCCAGTTTCGTAGTGAACTCCGACGGCAATAGCCGCATACCTGACGGAACATCCATCATCAATAAGTACCACACCACGCGCAACATCCTCAGCACTAAATGGCACTTTTAAGTTTAAAAATTGATATTAAGAAAAGAAGAAAGCTTCAGGATTCAAATAAGACTGAATAAACTTTTTAAATTCCGTAAAAAGAAAACATTGAAAAATCGTTTATCCTTGTTTTGGATTAAGGATTAACTGTGTTTACCACTACTTGATATTCCAAATTTAAAATATAGCATAATATTTATTGAGAAAAATAATGAGACAAATTAAGGGCAGAATTTTCTTTCATCGAGAAAAAAATCAATTGGGTGGAATTTTTTCCCTGTCAGTGTAGATACTAGGAAGTCGGGGAAGTACTGTTGGAATACACACCATTATAATAGAAAATAATTATGAGATAATAAACGTCGTTTATTACAATAGTTAAACTAACATAAATTTATTATCCGACAGTTTTCATTTTACTCAAGGAGGACATGAGAAGTTGTTTAATGTACAAACTCCTGCCAAGTCTCTCTTCGTCAAGTGCCTCGAGAGTGTGTTCTGCAGGTGTTTCCTTCAAAATTTTAGGCAGCATCAACTGGGAAGGATGTTGGGAAATTGAGATCTGCTGGGTGATGGGAGCGGCCTGTACGTCGGTCTTGGGCTGGTCGGGGTTACTCGGCGCGGGTGCCGTCCCAGGACTCTTCTTCGCCACTTTGTCCGTGTGACGCGAGGCCCTGATGTGCTGCCGCTCCGCCGTGACAGGAGAAGAAGTCTGGGACCTCCTCACGACAGACAGATGGGTGAGGAACTCGGCGATGGGGTCCGCGGCGTCGCGGGCCGGGTTGATCGCGGCGATGGCTCCCGCAGAACCGAAATGGACGTTAGACCTCCGACCCCTAGACGGCATGGACCTGGTCGCAGGAAGGGGTATACGGCGGACTGCGTGCCTCGAATGCGGCTCGTCGAAAATGGACATGAGCTCTCTGGGAGGGTTGCGGTGCTGTAAGTTGAGGTGGCCGACAAGGTCTTCTCGGCTCACGTTGACGTTGGGCCGGCTCACGTTTCCGGCGGCGCAGATCGGGCAGATGACGTCGAACGGCGACTGAGTGTGCTGCGAGTTGACGTGCTCGATGAGGAGGATCTCCGTAAAGCCCATTTTCCCGCAATACGGACATGTGTACGACTGTGTGGTTTCAGCCGAGACGGTGTCTCCTCCGTAGTAAAGCTCGTAGTCGTTCCTCGTCAATATGCACTGCATCGGATGCTCTGTGATGTGCCTGGCAGTAACGCACCCTTCTTCGTAACACGTCGAACACAAGTCGTAATCGTAGCAAATGAGGCATTTGTACCTTTTCCCCTTGAAGTTGCTCTTCAGACACGAATCGCAACTCACTCCTTCGTGACGGGACATTATTATTTTGCAAATTTACCTACATCTGTTTCCTTTTGAATTAATCAATATTTTAAAAAGTGCTGCTTTTCGTATTGCGAAGAACCTGTTTTCACATCTGAATTCGTCATCCCTCAACACCTTAAACGAATAGCGTTTCAGTAGATTAAACGTGACTTCAATAAATTCAATTTCATCGATTTATTTGTAACTAATGTCGAAAAATAACTTCCTTATAACAAACATTGTGGGACTGTTATCATATGGGCACTACAAATTATTTAACTATGTCAAAAAATATAAAGATACTAAGTGAAACAATGTTAGAATTCCAATAACTTCGTGCTAGACTTTATGAATTAATTACTTAATTTATAAAACAATTGACTTCCAATTTTACACTTTCTGAACAAGTATTTGTGATTTAACATTTTCTTTATTAATCATTTCCCTTGTACTTGCTTTATAAGTCGTTGAGCTTGTCTTGTCTTCTTGACCGTAAAATCACCTAATCACTGCAGCCCGCAGTTCTCAAGCCCTGGACGATTTCTTAAATATTTGTTGACATTTTTTTGCTTAAATAAATATTTGTAGACAAATAACGTACAGCTGTGTTAAATTTCTATTAAAAATTTTTTTTTAAAATTATTTTATTTAACTCTTGTGTATATACACATTATGTTTTGCTAATAAATACTGATACACAGCACACTCAAAAAGTGTGATTAACATGGCATTTGAGGGTGGGTCCTGCCCTATGGCAGTCCACACAATAATTCACTGGAGTATAATAATTTGAGATAAATAAAGATCTCATTAATAAATAAATTAACCTACTTTTTTGTTTTTATCTATAATCATATAACGTCAGGCGTACGTTTACACTAGCACTTATTTACATTAACACATATTTACAATCTGTAGTCAGTATGATGCTTTCTTTTTAGCCGTCTTTGTTGGCGGGGTGGAGGCATATTCCCTGGAATTTGTGCAATTGCCGGATTCGGGTGGGAGTCAGCTTTGGCAAGCATCGTCGGGTATCTCTTCTTTAGTTCGTCTTCTACCGATGTCAACGATATTTCATGGTGGAGCTGTTCATTCCTTACGAACCAGGGCGCGTTTGTTATTAACCGTAATACACGGTTCTGCAGCGTTTGTATCCTTTTTATTTGCGAGGCGGATGCAGAACACCAAATGGGCGAGCCATAAAACCAAATTGGTTTTATTAGGCTTAGATAAAGGAGTCGCTTAAGTGGAATTTGAACAGAATTGCTAGAGAGAATTGGTTTGATATTGCGAATACGCAAGCGAATTCTCGTTACACATGAGGATATGTGGTTATTCCAGGTGAGATGAGAGTCCAAGTGCAGTAAGTATTTATATGAGTCCGCTTGAGGTTAGTTTCACCGAGTACTATATGTGAGGGCTTTGAGGTCTTCTTATAAGTGAAGTTAATGAATTTGGACTTAGTTGAATTCAGCTTAACTTTCCCCTTGGACGCCCAATCATCAATTTTTTGGCGGCAATTCTGCATCCTCGTTTCTGCATCACTGAGCGTGATACTTTGGGACAGTACTGCTTTGTCATCGGCAAATTGGGCTATTTCGATGTTGCTATCTGCTGGAAAGTCATGCTCGTACAGAATGTAAAGGAGGGGTGCCAGAACACTTCCTTGAGGAACACCCGCTGAGATGCTGTGTACTTCAGAATTCGCTCCTTTATAGCTGACAAAAAATTTTCAGTCGGTCACATAAGACTTCACCAGCCGGTAGTTTGTATCGGGTAGTAACTTTTTAATCTTATATAGCAGGCCCTCATGCCACACGCGATCGTAGGCCTTTTCGGTATCTATAAATAAACCTAGACAATACTTTTTTTCCTCATAAGTTTGTAGTATTTTATCCACTACTCTGTGGAGTTGCCACGGACAAGAATGCGATGCTCTGAATCCAAATTGGGTGTTCGGTATTACAGGACTTAAATAACTCAGAAGCTTTGGAAATATTAGTCGCTCGAGGATCTTCGATAGTGCAGACAACAAACTTATTGGTCGATAACTGGTATACCCCATTCTTTTTTAGCTTTATGTATAGGTACCACTTTAGCAATTTTCCATTTTTTTTGGAAAGTATGCCGTTCGAAGGATGCCATTGTATATTTGTGTTAACAGTACGAGACATTTTCTAGGCATATGTATCAATAGTGGCCTTATGATCATGTCCATACCTGGTGCTTTTTTTTAACTTTCTGAATTACACGGTGAACCTGAGATGGAGTGAAGAAATCAAAAAACGGTGACAATTGCAAGGGAGCTTGAAGAGATTCCTGTACCATTTCCATTGTTTGAGGATTGTCAATGACATTTGGCTGAAACTGCTCTCGGAAAAGATGCCCGAAAATTTCAACTTTTTCCTCAGGACTGGTCGCCCAGCCAGCTTGAGTTTTAAGAGGAGGTATATTGGAGGATTATTTTTATATCGTGTATTTTAACTGTTAATGCATTTCGGGCCACGACCCTGGTTCCTCTTCAGATGTACAATATTTTTTGTTAAAGTAATTAAATCTAACTTCCATTTAGCTAAATAGTGTGGTATGTACATAATGAAAGATTTCTTACTGTTTTTGATAAAAATATGTGTTTATTTATTATGATAAACTATTGTAGCTCTATAGAGAGAGCATGGACGTGGCCCGAAATGCATGATCAATTAAAATATATGGCATAAAAATAAATGGTGTTTAATTTTAAAAAATAACCAACTTTCTAGATTTAAAAGATTTTTACTGCCAAAATAATTTAAAATTATTTTAAAAAAATTAAATTTGAATTTATTTTTATATTTTATTTGCATGCTCCAATAAATTACTACATGCTGAATACAAAACTTTATTAAGAGTACAAACAGATAAATACAATCATCGGTACTTATGTATCGCTATACATGTACGCTATATATAGCACTGTGTCACATAAAGTCGATAGAATTGAGGAACCCATGATGGTGGCCAGTTATCCCCTGAAGTTATGACGTATCGCTCAAATGGTGATCTCTGTTTCTGGAATAACGAACAGAAGTTGTTAAGGATGTGATCCTATGTTTTTGTTCAGCCAGTTTTTTGCATCGACATGTAGGGTCGTCTATAATGCGGAATCGATAGAAGTAAGCTCGGTTTTTCCCATGGCATGTCAGTACTTGAGTGGTTTTGTAATTTAGCTTGAACTCATATTTTATACGATCAGCTATCGTCGGAAAGAACCTTTTGATGTGTTTCCGTTAGGTGCACACGTTTTCCCATAGTTTCAAGCTATCCTCTCTTGTTATCCTGTACGTAACTACAAGGTATGGTATGGTACAGTGGATAAGGATACTAGGAAGAAGGGTTTGTACTCCCCAGGCACTGCAGCCTTCTGGTTTAGTTCCTTAGTTCACTGCAATAGACTCTTTCTTCTTAGAAGTATCAGGTCATTGAGTGTCGTTGCCACAATTTCATTCCCTAAGTTTTTTCGTATGTTAGGTTGAATCTCCATGTTGCTTCGCCGTCGAAGATGATATGGGTGTAACTACAAGGTACTTGGTGGAAGGCTATTTCTGTTTAACTATTGGGTTGTCCGGAAAATAATGCAGGATTTTAAGNTGGGAAATTATTTTGATTAAAGAACATTGCTTTAAAGTAACTAGTTTCTTTTTTTTTGTTTAATACCAAAATCCTGCATTATTTTCCGGACAACCCAATACTTGCTGTTCTTTAGCTAATGCATCAGCTTCTTCAAGCCAGATGTTTCCGCAATGAGCTTTTATCCATTTTATAGTCACTCAGTCCATATGTATGTTCCCGGTCGTTAGCTTGATTTCTTATTATTTCAACCATCAAGAAACGTTTTCGTTAGTCTTGGATTGAAAACAAAGAAACTTGACTGTCTACCCTGTTCTTCTGCTCAATTTTTGGTTATTTTCTGACCATCATTCACTATTGGGCAAGTTAAATTATAAGTAACATGTGAAAGCGCCGCACGTAGGCAAGCCTCACGTAAAAACAAACAAGCAGTAGTGCAAGCAGTTTCTAGTTCACAGGTTTTGAAAATAGATTTTTTATTAACATACACATTTTTATATAGTATTTTTATTACAATATGATTCTCGGAACCTGTTTTTCTTTTTTAACCGTTTCACAAGTTCGTTATCGCCCTCGGTAATGGGCGGATACAAAGCCTCCTCAGTGTGAATGGTCTTCTATCGTCTCTATTGTCTTTTGACTATTAATTGTATCTTTAAATCTTTAAAAATAAACAGGTGGCCCCTCTGTTCAATTCAAATGTAACGTTCGCGAAAGGCGCGGTGACGAAAGTTCTCGATATTCAAAATGTGTCTAGCCTTAACGTTCCTACTTCCTTGTCGCAATTTGTTTTTATTATATTTTAGAGAGATTTTGTACCACGTATTGTACAAATAAATAATAAATAAAAAATTTAAAAAAAGGGAAAAACTCATTTCCACGTGTTCCTGTTTTCCTTATCGTTTGGAATTGCGCCTTTTAGAAAATATGCGAATGCCTTTTTTTGAACTTTTTTTATTATAGTGTTTTAATTAAAATAAAATAGTCAGGACTTCAACATAAAATCATGGGTTTGTTTTGTTTTATAAAAGAGATTTTTGTCGTTAGAGTGAATTTGTTTCGTCAAGGCAACACTGATTTCGAATAGTCTGCGTTCTGTGATAGAGGATAAGAAATACCGCCAATACGTATTCCACTGTCCTGAATGTGTTGAAAGTAGAATTCTTGGAGTGGCGGATGAAATCATCACCGATTTACAAAAATCGCTAAGTCCTTCATTCTTCTATAACTGACAAGTTATTCAGTGTTAAGTCCACAGTTCGTCTTGGTCTCATTCCATTGGCACGTGAGAAAATGAACAATTCAGAGACTCCGAGCGGAGAAGTAAGCATTGGCCGGCATTTTTCTTGCGAGACGTAATAAAACTTTTCTTTTTAAATATTTGTGTTTAAAGGATTTGGGAATTTTTAAGGAGGGCGATCACGATCCTCATTTCGAGCCCGTCATCATTCTACCGGAGATAGTTGTCAATACTTTCGAGGAGGACGAGTCCATCCTGATCAAAGAGTGAGTCTCAGAAGTTTCACCTAGGTTCATTGATAAAAAAAAAAAACACAAATTGCACCTGACAATAACCCATGTTTTGTTCTTAATGTTGACCTTAATAGACCTTCAGCGGGTCGAGATGTGTATGATTTCATTGCCTAAAAAATTAAACCTTGTTTTATTTCATTTCTGTATTGAGCGCCGGGTTTCCAGCCTGTGTACTGGCCAGTTTACATTTATGCACTGTAACCGTATGCGTGCATGTTCATTGATAAAAAAACAACACAAATTGCACCTGACAATAACCCATGTTTTGTCTCTAATGTTGACCTTAATAGACCTTCAGCGGGTCGAGATGTGTATGATTTCATTGACTAAAAAATTAAACCATGTTTTATTTCATTTCTGTATTGAGTGCGGGTTTCCAGCCTGTGTACTGGCCAGTTTACATTTATGCACTGTAACCGTATGCGTGCATGTTCATTGATAAAAGATAACAACACAAATTCCAACTGATTATAAACCACATTTTGTCATGATTGAAAACTGTCAGGGTCTTTTAGACAGTAACCTTTTGAGTAAATAGATCTCCAATGTCATGATCTTTATAATTTCATTCCTTAAACCATTAAATCTGGTTTGAATTAATTTCTCTATTAAGATCTGTTTTCCGGCCAGTTTTCACTTGAGTACTGCACATGTGCAGGTTCATTGCTAAACATTTAACACAAATTGCCCATGACAATTAACCACGTCCCATTCATATTGTCTGTCTATACAGTCCTAATACACCTGCAGCTAGTCTTGATGTTTATAATTTCATTTTTTAAACAATTAAATCATGATTTAATTTCTCTATAAGAGCCATGTTTGTCAACTTGTACATCGGGCAGTTTGTACTTCTGTAGTATATGTGTCTAAGTTTGTTCACTGATGTAAAGCTAGCACACTTTGCACCTGACAATAGCCCATGTTATGTGGGAAAAGGCCTAAATCTCATTATAAATGTCAATAAATTTGAGAAAGCTGAAAAGTGCTCTTCGAAAGAAACAATGGGGACCCAGTAATTCCTGTAAAACACTCGACAGGTTGAGCCTTTGCTTAAAGGGTTGCAAAGTCAACCAAAATATGTTTTACTGTCAGAATGATATGTTCTCCCTGGTTTTGATATTTATAATTTCATTCCTTAAACAATCAAACCATGTTTTACTTCATTTCTATATCGAGGGCTGGGTTTTCCATTTTGTTCATAATTGAAAACTCTAAGGGTCTTTTAGACAGTAACTCTTCAGCTAAACAGATCTGCAGTGTCATGATCTTTATAATTTCATTCCTTAAACCATTAAATCTGGTTTGAATTAATTTCTCTATTAAGAACTATGTTTTCCGGCCAGTTTTCACTTGAGTACTGCACACGTGCAGGTTCATTGCTAAACATTTAACACAAATTGCTCCTGACAATTAACCACGTTCCATTCATATTGTCTGTCCATACAGTTCTAATAGACCTGCAGATAGTCTTGACGTTTATAATTTCATTTCTTAAAAATTAAATCATGATTTATTTAATTTCTCTATAAGAGCTATGTTTGTCAGCCTGTACATCGGGCAGTTTGTACTTATGTAGTATATGTGTCTAAGTTTGTTCACTGATATAAAGCTAGCACACATTGCATTTGACAATAGCCCATGTTATGTGGGAAAAGGCCTAAATCTCATTATAAATTCCAATAAATTTGAGAAAGCTGAAAAGTGCTCTTCGAAAGAAAGACTGGGTCCCCAGTAACTCCTGTAAATCTCTCGAAAAGTTGAGCCTTTGCCTAAAGGGTTTCAAAGTGGGACAGTCGACCAAAATATGTTTTACTGTCAGAATGATACATTCTCCCTGGACTTGATATTTATAATTTCATTCCTTAAACAGTCAAACCATGTTTTATTAGTGCCAGGTTTTCCATTTTGTTCATAATTGAAAACTCTAAGGGTCTTTTAGACAGTAACTCTTTGGTTAAACAGATCTGCAGTGTCATGATCTTTATAATTTCATTCCTTAAACCATTAAATTTGGTTTTAATTAATTTCTCTATTAAGAACTATGTTTTCCGGCCAGTTTTCACTTGAATACTGCACAAGTGCAGGTTCATTGCTAAACATTTAACACAAATTGCCCCTGACAATTAACCACGTTCCGTTCATATTGTCTGTCCATACAGTCCTAATAGACCTGCAGCTGGTCTTGATATTTATAATGTCATTCCTTAAACAATCAAACCATGTTTTATTTCATTTCTGTATCGAATGCCGGGTTTTCAATTTTGTTCATAATTGAAAACTGTTAGGGTCTTTTAGACAGTAACTTTTCGACTAAATAGATCTGTAGTGTCATGATCTTTATAATTTCATTCCTTAAACCATGTTAGATTTGATTTCTCTATGAAGAACTATGTTTTCTAGCCTATGGGCTTACTGTTAGGTTGGCCCTTGGAGAACAAATAACTATTATTTACTATGCTAACATTTTATTCGTACGAATCCTCAATTACTCAATAATTTTATATTTAAACATTAATTGGAAAACACTGCAGATAAAATATGACAACAGGTGCTTAATAAGGTTCACTTTATTATACTACAAGAAATCTATATTAAAAGATAATGAACAATTTATTATCTTTACAATTACAACTAAAAGGTGTTACAGTTCCCCCAAAACTATTCTACGAACCTGGTATTGCAAAAACTACTCAGCCTGAGAGGGACAGAACACAAGGCACTCACCCAGTATCCGCAAGACGGCCGCGATCATCTTCTTTCCAGAGTTAGAACAAGACTGAATCAACGTCCGTCGTGCGAAATGGGATCCGTCTGTCTCACATTTCTTCCCTCCCAGTCTATACACTTTTTCTACAACATTTAAACATTTCTACAACTTTAAATTAAACTAAAACTAATTGTCTCTCATACACCACACTTACCATTTTGTACTTGTGTATTGCACACGTGCAGATTCTTTAATAAAAATATAGCACAAATTGCTCTTGACAATGAACCAAGTTTTGTTCATACCATGTATATATAGTCCTAATAGACCTACAGCTGGTCTTGATATTTATAATGGTCATTCTTTAAACAATTAAATCATGTTTGCGAACCTGTGCATAGATCAGTTTGCACTTGTGTACTGCATATGTCTAAATTTGTTCATTGATATAAAGATATCACAAATTGCACCTGACGGGCCATGTTCTTTCTGTTCATAAATGTATGTCTTAACCAGTCCTAATAGACCTGCAGCTGGTCTTGATGTTTGTAATTTCATTCCTTAAACAATCAAACCATGTTTTATTTCATTTTTGGTTTTAAAAAAATAATACTTTTCCAGCCTGTGTAATAGCCATTTGGAATTGTGTACTGCATGCCTGCAGGTTGATGATAAAAATATATCACATATTACACCTAATAATACTATACTACACATACACCTAATAATACAATAATAAGATCATACTTCTACAGGATCATTTTTGTAGTAAATCTTCACAAAATTTGGTTACAACAGTCGAATAATAAACCATGTTCTGTTCATAATGTATGTCTAAACCCTCCTAAACAGACATGCAGCAAGTATTGAAAAAAATCTCAAATTTTCACCGTTCAACAGGTTCATTATTTTTTGTAATTACATATAAATAATGAGTATAACAGAAAAGTTTCAAAACTTCAAAATCTTTAATTCGTGCTTATACGAATTTTAGATTGAACTAGGGCAGTCTAGTCGGCTCACAACATTTGCACTTTGTTTTGTGTTGAAAAATAAGTGACCGTACTACCCAAAAGTAGTTCTAAAAGTATGCTTCTGGGAATGAGGGGATTGTAGATAAAGCACGGTCTGGTAGGACTTCTGTCTCAAAAGATGATGAATTGTGGGAAGCTATTGAATTTAATCCGAGTCAAACGTCAGGAGCTTTGCAAGTGTTTAACAAAAGTTTGCCCTAGCTTACATTGGACCTGGGGTGATGTGGCAACTCAATAGGATCCTCAAAAGTTGACTAACTTTGGCTTCAGCATCTAAACATTTGCCTACCACAATCTCGGTACTTTATGAACCTGACCCAATCTTCACCTGTTTGGGTATTTCATACGGGTCTACAAACTGCTGAAAAATAAGTTGAGTTATCACTCCTGAGACTCAAAACTAAAAGAAGGGCATAACTGGGCTAGTAACTCATTGAGAGAAGGTTATAAATGCCAGGGGAGACTATTTCCCTGAATAAAATATTTTGAAACTAATTTTAATTGTGACAATATTAAACCCTTTAAACCCACACAAACTTTTCTGGTTACTTGGTACAATCAGCCAAAGACAGATACCCATACCAAATCTTCCCGAGCGTAGCAAGGAGATTAGAAGCAAAGCATGTCCATGTGGACCATTACATAGTGCAACTCTTAACGGGGCATGGCGACTTCAGCCAAATTGTTTAGATTTGGCCTAAAGACCAGCCCATTATGCCCCTGTGGACACGAGGAAGGAGACAGCTGAACAAGTTGTTTCAAGATGCGAAATGTATAGCATCCCCCGAACTAGATGGCTGTTTGAAACGAATACCAAGGTAGCTAACATCAATTCATTGCAAGGGATTGTTGCTAGACCAGATGGCTTTAAGGCCACCATGAGATATTGGAAGGCCGTAATGCGGCAAAAAGGCTGGCCTGCTTAGTAAGCAGTGACGCCTAAACATCATGCCATAGCTACCGAGATAGCCACATTGCTTTTCCCCCATGTTCCAGCCGGACGCCTCCGCGTGGCCCATCCTGGGGGTGCCATATTGGCACCGCTAAGTTCCGGTGGGGGAATCTGAGCTACGGCCACTAGGCAGAGAAAGCCAAAACGTCACCTGCAAAGCCCTCTCAAGGGCCTAGAAGCGGGACACGAATAGAAAAGACCTAGTGGTTACTTGGTACAATGCATGTCAAAACATTCACCTAATAAAAAAATAACAGCTCAAGTTTCAGCCTGGCCTGCCAAAAAATTATTTGGTTTACGATTTGGCCTTCTTAAGATATGCCAACCCCTGCCTCAAATGATTAGGGTCAATATTTTTGTCATTATCTGTTCAAAAATTTTTACATAAATATTCAACAAAATCTAACATTAAATCCTTTTTCAGTATATAAAACGTGTTGTTTTCTTTTTTGGTTGATATATTTTTAAGCAAAGTCTACATTTACACTGGTACAATTAACACTGGTAATTTTGATTCTGTACTTTAAGGCGGGCAAAGTTATTTAGGCATGACAGCCAAAATAATGAATGGAAAGAGCGAGGTACGGGGGAAGTAAAACTTTTGTACAATGAGGAATTGAACACCGTTCGTGTTCTCATGAGAAGGGAGAAAACTTACAAGTTATGTGCAAATCATTATGGTAAGTTATTTCACATGGGGAGAAAAACTTCATAATATACATTCGACTAAGCATGACAAATTTCAGTAACTCAGGATATGGAGCTTAAACCGAATTGTGGTAGCGATAGGGCCTGGGTCTGGACAACAGCTGCGGATGTATCTGATGGCGAACCTCACGCTGAAGTCCTGGCGATAAAATTTCAAAACACAACTGGTATTTTTTTTTTTTTTTTTTTTTTTTTTTTTTTTTTTTTTTTTTTTTTAAAGTGACAGTTTTTAATTTACATCCTTTTACAGCTGCATATAGATGGAAGAATGCATTCGATAAGTCTAAAGATTTAATTAAGAAACCAAATGGTGAAAAACCTTCCAAAGACGCTGAAAGCAGTGATAGTCAATGTTGGTTTAATGTATTCATCTACTTGAAAGTAATTGTGTAATAATGTACAATGTAAACTTTTAGATTCTTCATCTGATGATTCTCAAGATGAGGTTGTTAACAAAGTCAACAAACTTACATTGAAAGCTACAGAATCAAAAACTGAAGACTGCGTTGATGATGTCTCTAATGAAGAAGCTAAAGACGGAGTAATTAAAGAGGAGGAAAACAAAAACGCTGTTGAGAGCGATGAATGATTTGTTTAAACATTATAATTTTCTTAGTACTTGTATATAAATACTGGGTTTTTGAAAATTATTTTTAACAATGAATAAAATTATTTTTAAAAATGGAACAAATGTAGTTTCAAAAAAGATTAAGCGATCGATTGTGTAAGAAATCTGTTTCTTGACTGATCTACTTGAAATAATAATATCAACTTGATATTATTATTAATGAACCATTTGTTTAAAAATTATATAATTTCTGAGGTAATTTTGTGTACACTTGAATACAGAAGAAAACTGATTAAGCAGTTAAGTGCATAAGAAATCTGATACTTGACTGTTCTACCCATATATTGTGCCTTGATATTAAGATTAATAATGTTTTATTTCAGCTTATTAATGATACTTGAATAGTTTTTATAAATAAATAATTTTTTTATTCAACATTATGTTTCAAATCATCAATAAAAATGGCATTATTTTTTATATCGGAAATTAACTTGATTTTCTGTCTATTCTCCTGTTTAAGTATCACGAATCAGTTGCCTAAAAAAATGCAGAATGAACCCATGGCGATTCCTTTATGGGTGATATAGAAAGTTCAAGAAGTTGGATAACTGCTGAACTTCAATATAATCTATTTGCCAAATAAAATATGATAAAAAAAATACCATGCCACAAAAAATCAGCCACTAGAATAGTTGAGGACCTCATTTTTTATTTTACTATTTTTATTGATTATGGAGACCAGGAACTCTTAAGAGTGCCCATGAACACTGCAGCTTTACAGCTTATTGTACTCCTGTCTAGTTCCATTTTGGAAGCTCGGGGATGTGCCGGTGGTCTTGCATTGAAGAACATTTCATAACGGGGTTGGGATCAAATTAAGGCTCTTTAAGATCACATCCCGTTGGATCTGCCATTGATGAGTGCTGTGACGTGATCAACGCTCCCCTTATTTGTCAGAAAAATCCAGAGGTGAAAGTGGGAATTGAACCCAAGAGAGGGATCTACTAGCCGAAAGTCTGACACCTTATCCACTCATTTACCACAGATACTAAATGCTGGTTTACACAAAACCCTGCTGAATTGCTTTAGTCAAATGAGACCAAGTGCTGCTAAGAAGAATTCATTTAATCTTAAGAAAAATATTTTTTAACAGCTGCGGAGTGTCATCAAAAATGATTCCTGGACCTGAATATATCCACCATCGACCAAGATGATTGTATATTATTTGAACGTATATATTTATGTAAATATACATTGTATGTATATATTTATGTAAATATACATTATATGTATATATTTATGTAAATGTACAGTCAACCCTCCTATAACGCGGTACTCTCAGAACGCGGTTTCTATATAACGCGGAGCTGAAATTGCGACAGCCCTCCCATAACGCGGTACTCTTACAGCGCGGTTTCCGTTTAACAGAATCCCATAAGTCCCTTCCACACAGCCTATGAATGACTCTAGTAACTAGATATTGTAAGAGGTTTTAATGTGTTTTATTTTCCACGCAAAAGCACAGCCGAGATACATAAACAATATGTTTATATAAACATGCCAGCTTATCTCATAGCCGTTTACGTAAACCTCTGTTGGAAACCTCTTTTACCTCAAATGGTTCAAGCAATACAAGATGATTCTACAATTTCACTCCCAGTTTCAGAAATAGTAAACATTGCTTCTCGTTTAAGCGATGAAGAATTTGCAGTAAACCATCAGGATGTAAGAGAACAGAGGGAAGAAACTTTAGATGAGGAAGAACTGATGGAATTAATTGATGCACCTACCTCAAATGCATTAGTAAACGAAAATAAGGAAAACGAATGGGTGCCAAATCTCGATTTACAAGATGTGAAAAAAGGGCTGAATTTGGCTAAAGAATTAGAACTTCATTTCATTCAAACTGATCGTTCAACGGTGCGCAGTGCAAAGTTTAAAAGAGAGTTAAGAAATTGCTTAGCTCCCTATAGAGAGGTTTTAGTGGAGTTTGAAAAAAAAGCTACTATCGAAAACCAATGTGAAGAAGAACCAAGTGAGGAAGACATTTTGCCCATTAAAAGAAGACGAGTTAGGCGACTCATATCTGACAGCGAGGATGAGTGTTGAAAAATAAATAATTTTACAAAAGTCTTGTTTTTGTTGGAAAACAGTCTTTTAGTTTAGTTTTTGTTTCATTTTTTTTTTTTATCAATCCTTATATGAACTCTTCAATTCAATAAAAATAATTCATAATTTATCTTGTCTTTTGTATTTATTGGTCTCCGTATAACGCGGTACGAATTATGTGATTTGTACTAATTCCGAGTTTCTTATAGCGCAGTTTCCATACAACGCGGTAGACGGTTTCCATAGAACACGCTACGAATTAGCCTGTTTGTACGGTTAAATCCGAGTTTCTTATAGCGCGGTTTCCATATAACGTGGTACGCACTCACCGTGTTATAGGAGGGCTGACTGTATATATTTATGTAAATATACATTGTATGTATATATTTATGTAAATATACATTGTATGTATATATTTATACAATTGTACAAAATTAGTATTTAATTTTATAAGGTTTGAGCAGTGTCCAAGGAACCAGTATATACATACAATGTACCAGGAACCAGTATAGTCACACTATCACATGTACACTGCATAAGACCCAACATTTCAACTGACTTGGGCATGGTTGATACACAGTCTGCGTTCTACCATTTATACTTTTTAAATTCTCCCTCCACTTCACCTGCTGCACAATTTCTAGGGTTGCTTCAGAAAGGGCAAAAGTTTCACTGGCTAAACTCGTTTCAACTTTTTTCAACTGGAAGTTATTTTTTTTATTTTGTATGTGCGTTTTTCTATTTATTTAATTATTCACCCATTTTGTACGATTACACAGCTGTTGCATCATAAAATTTGTTCTACATCAGTTAAATGTAATAAAATAAAAACTTTTGGTTTTTAAATACCAAAGAGCTATTTTAAGTAATAAATTGGGTTCTGCCAACCAAAATGGCCAAGCATCGTAGTCAATGCATTTACTCTACTTTTGATTTTTTTTTCTTTGTAGTTTTTTCTATAGCAGGTTAACATACAGGGTCATATTCAGATAGATGTATTGCAGTATGATATACTGACCGATATTGAGTTGATCGAGCTTGATTTTCCATTTTGTGTCCATTGGTTTATGTTGTAACATATCTTTTGAAGGGGTTTGGAATAGTGGTTGACTTGGTCCTATTGATATCTGCATCTTCTGGTTGCATGTTTTACGCCAACCATTTTTGAAAAATCATATATATAGAAAATAAAATGTTGGCTAGTATGCTCCCTTGCAGCACTCCCGCATTTATGTGTTAATATTGGTATTTTTAACAAAAATGTCTTACTATTAGTTAAAGAAGTGATATCTACTGCTGCTTGGATAGTATTCTTAGTTCACTGCTAAGTCCTTCATGCCAGAACTTGTCAAATACTTGTGAAACAACGTGGAAGTTCAACATGAACATCCGTTACTCAGTGAGTTTGTAATGGTCAGTTATTGAATATCGATCGGTTGGGATAATTTTCTTTTTTTTTCCGCTCTGCGTTTTATACTTGTGGTTGAAAAGGATGAGAGGGACAAAGTGAGAAATAAAAATAAATATATACTATGTATTATATGTGGTCAGAAACCCTAGAAAAGTTCCCTAAATTATAATAATTAGGCATTTTTATACTTAGCATACATTTCATATTAGAAATAAGTAAAAAGGGTTTGGTAGAACTTTATATATTTAAAACTGTCTATAATAAATAATTTCATAGAAGTAGATATACCAGCCAGATATACACAGATACCAGCCAACTCTTCACATTCATAGGTCCATAGGGCAGCTGGAAAAGTTTGACTAATAGATCATATGGGAAATTTTTGCAAAAAGAATTTAATAGATTTTTTTAAAATTGAGGATTCTTTTTATTGAAAATCCAAATTGGATACTTTTTAATAATGAAATATTTGAATATATGTAGGACTTTAAAAAAAAGTAAGATTAAAAAATGATTGCTCAAAACTTTTGTAGTTTTATTTATTTATTTATTGTGTAATACACTACAGAATATTTGACTGAGGAGCGTAGGAATTAAACCGGGTAAAGAATGCGTTATCGGCATTCGACTAACCCAAAACAGTTTTTAATCAGATTATGCGAGCTCTTTCATTAGGGTGTCTACGGTGACTATTTTCAGCCGACGTAATGAATAACCGACGCAGCCCATCTCTGCTAACGACAAGCAATGTACTTCGAATAAAACAGGGTTGTTTTCGTCTACCGACAGAGTCTGTTCAACGTTTCATTTTAATCCACCCACGTGTTGCCCACTTCCGTAAATGATGGGATGTCCAAACGTTCTCACTGTCATTTGTCCTACAATGAATTTTTTTGTAAAATGTCAATTAAAAAAAAAAGCAATAACAAGTTCATTGATTTTTTCCACGTGATTTTTCAATGATGGACATTTTAAAATCAAAATTAAATTTAATCTAATAAATTTAATTCAAATAATATTAAAATAATAATTTAATATTTATTAATACATTAATTAAAATAATAAATATACAAAAATAAAGTATGAGGTTTATTTTATATAAAATCCTTCTTTTCATAACATACTGGCTTACAAAAAAAGTACTTTTTTAAGCAGAAATATAGTTTAAGTACATTCTGTTTATTTAATAATAATTTATTTGTAAAAAAAAAATTATATTTAACGTTTATTATTTACAGATTAATGTTCTTTTTTTGAGTAAAACTTTAATAATTATTTGCAAGCAATGTTTGTTGGTATAATCAATTAATGATTAATTCATTAATTCAACTTTCATCATTTTATTTTTGTTTAAAGTGTATTCTGAAGAAAAATAATTTTAGATATAGATAATTTATATGATTTCATTTATGTGTTTCACCGCTTATCCGTGGATTGCGTAAACCTACTGTATACACATACGTATATCGATTTAAAAAAAATCAGTTAAGTAAGGTTTTTTTATTATTTATTATTATTACTTGGCGAGTTCGCCCGTCGTCGCATGGGACGGTCCGGGGGTTGGCGCGCTAAGCCTCCGCTTGTTTTATATTATATATTTTTAAATATGTCAAAAAAAGCAACTCCAAACAAATACATTCGAAAATTTCCGCTCCTCTCGATTTTAGGCAGGCTCGCTAGAAAAAATGTAATTTCTATCTTAGTGTACACCTCGATCGTGCAATATGATTGTACATGTGTAAATACAGTAAAACTTCGTTATAACTCTCTTCTGAGGTCCAAGGCAAAACAGTGGTATAACCGGAAAAACACTTTTACCGGGAAATCGTAAAAACTCAGCTTAAAATGAACAAAATTTATTTAAAAACATTGAATGTATACAAATATAAAAATAAGATATAAACACAAAATGTAC